AAAAAAAAAAAAAAAAAAAAAAAAAAAAAAAAGGTGAGATACACGAATTAACCGGTAAGCGGTGGGTGATGTAAAAAAAAAAGGAGTTCTCACATGCAAAGACATTCGTATAAAGACAATAGCGCGGAAGGAATAGTATAGGTAGGAAGAGGAGATGAAAATGGAAAAACACAACGACGAAAATGGAATAAAATAAAGGAGAGATGAACGGTGTACGACTACTACTATTATACAGGGGGAAGCCAAGAACCACGGGCGAGCTATTCGAGATATAGGTACACATAGAGGCATACAGGTATATGAGATACAAACGTTATATATGTATAGAAGCTAGGAAGCAACACCCGTTACATGAACCCTTACCGGCGCTGCTCGTGCGCACTTGGCCTTTTTGATTCGGTCTTGTAGTTCTGCAGCCCTCTCCTTCTCTACGCCTAAAAATATAATAATAATAATAATAATAATAATAATAATAATGTGTAACGATGATCTACATGTTCCATTATCACTGAGATAAAGGGATTTTCGGTGTTTATCGTGCCGTCGCAGTAAGTAATAAAAAAAACGGTACCAAAAATTAAATATTCAAAACAAAAACAAGCATGAAATGTGGCATAATGGAGTCTAATTAGGTATACCCAAAAGCCAAATAAATAATAAGACAAAATAAGAAGAGAGGGGTACGGAAGTGACATTTCGAACTTTGGAGTACTATTGCAGCTCGTAAACTTAACTTAAATGGTTTTCCGCTTACAAAATATCTGTCGTCAATAAATAGTACAAGAAAAAATTTTTTCTTGCTTGTATGAGTAACAAAGTAGTGGGTCTGGGGGAGGCGGAAGTGACTAACATTTTTGTGCACACGAAAATTGAAAATTAAAATGTGTCGATTAAAGAGAATTGTTGACAGCTTTGGCTTGTGCGTTTATCTTGTTGACAGACTAGAAAAGTAACCATTAAAACGAAATGCAACAGTGTGGTTTTCAAAGTGATTTCTGCTACGTGGAACATTTGGTATTTAGTTAAAACTCTTGCTTATAGATTAAAAATTAATGTTATTTTGGCATAAAAATGTAACATACGACATTCATATTTGACAATGTATGTGCAATGATTTGGCAGAAAAGCTTCTTTTTTTCTAGTAGGAGCTTTTAGGTGCCAAATTGAGATAAGGACAGGGTACGGAAGTGACATCTCAGCTATATTTTGTGAATTATCTCATTGAGAAGTCAACATAATATATCAGCTCGAAAGTTTTTTTCATGAAAATTGAACGCTTTTAACATAACTTCATGAGATGAGAATATTCAGTTTGTTTCATGTAGTAGTACGAGTCCTGGACACGAATTTGACCACTTACGGCAGAATCACTCATTTACGTATATTCTTTGTTTTAATCAATTAAAGAATATGATTTTAAAAATTCTGCTGAGTTTTCAATAAATCAAAAGTATTATCTTCGGAGATGATAGAGGTGGATTTAGGGAAAGATTAATCAAATAAGGGGTGGTGGAGGGGAATCTGGGGAGAACGGGCGCATCTTGCTGAAATATTGCAAAATTATAAATTACATGAAAATATAAAGCAAATAACAGTCATTTGAAAGAGATCTGAGGGGGGGTGATGGGAGCTGAGACTCACTTGTGTCTACTATATATATATGTGTGTATGTATATANTGCGATCTCCCACCCTATAGTCAAAGACAATTGGATTCCGGTACACCTCCAATCATCTACTCTGCTAAGGTTCAAGTGATAAGATTTTATTAGATTTAAGTAGATATTCTTGATTAGATTTAAGGTTGTGGAAGTTCAGGTAAGCGACAGTTCCGGCCGGCAAAGTAATTCGGGACTGGGTTTTTACGGACCACCTCGTTACGTACCTATGCGTGATGTTTTTTCTGAAAGTTCTGCATCCGAAGTACGCTCATCCGTCTGTAAAAAATTACATATCGTATTACGTACGTACTACGAAAACTTTTTTTTGCTGCCCTGGAACAAGTTTCATGGACACTTAATTCATAATCAAATTAATTGATTAGTACCTAACTGAAAGCTAATTCTTCCTCAATAGCGTTTTTTGTAGCATAAACTGATCGTACTCAGTCAAAAATTGTTAGCTATAAGAATTAGCTGCATTTTTACCTATACTTATAGCAAAAACCACCTACACTGTAGCTATAAAAATGTCTAAAAAATAGCTAGAACATAGCTGACAGCTAAGAATTTTGCAAAAAAAAAAAAAAAAAGTTTTCAAGAATTACTTTTTTTCATATCTATTATCAAGAAAAGTAATACTTAGTAACGTTTCTGAAAAGTAGAAAAAAATAGTATTGTAAGAGTTTTATTCATGAGTTTACAATAAAAACTACATCAATATTATGTTTGCACTAGCAACAGCGTACAGTTTTTTTCAGTTTTTTAAATACCGTGTCGGCTGCTGTGCTGGGCTTGTCAACAACATGACATATATATATATATATATGTCACATGTGAAGTCAAATAATCGAACACGCCTTAGCACTTGGGAGGAACTGGACAGGGTACCCCCTCCACGCTTTCAGAGTCTTAGGTGGAACAACGGATTTAGGTGAACTACAGCGTTACCCAGAGGGTCAAGGGACAATATGGCAGATGGGCGGCCATGTTAAGGATTCTATTTAGAAATAGTGAGCTTCAGGGAAGTGAGCGAGAACTACCGCCATTTGATGCAACATCTACAAGGCGTATATATCATGTATACTTTGCCACATACAACAATGGGAATCCTGTGTTAATCTTATCTTATGGGTCGTGACAGCCAATCAATCGTGACAGCTACTGTCCCGCGTTCTGCTGCTCACTTCCTTGAATAAACTGTATATCTATGTATATTGCCCGTAGTCCATTGCTCGGAGACAAAAAAAAACGATTTAATCTTGCTTTTCGGTAGAGAAAAAACAAGAAATCGTCTTTTCCGCACTTGTTACGTAAATAACTATTTTTTTAAATTGAATTAAATCAAGTAACTGGTTCGACATCGTTCAAATACATTAGAACATATAAAGGAATAACTTATGAAACTTTTAAAGATCCTGCAATTGCAATAAATTTAATAGACAATGATGAAAAAATCGATGATATTTTTAAAGAAGCAATTGCTGTTATGTTTCCATATCAATCAAGACAATTTTTTGCTTGGTTTTTAATTTCAGAAAACGTTCAAGGTGACAAAATATGGAACAAATACATTAATACACAACAATTCAATAAAGAAATGTTTAACTCGATGTATAAAAGTTTGAATAATGACCAGACAAATGTATTTCATATTATTTGCGAACAAAGAAATAATATTTTCTTTATAGATGGTCCTGGAGGGTCAAGAAAAACTTATTTATATAAAANGGGGGGTAGGGGGAAATTAGGCAATTTTGCTGTGAAAAGGTCGCCTAAACCCTCCTCGAGGAGCATTGCGGGGTGAAAAAGCACATGTGAAAAATCACAGAGGTACTTGCCCGAAAAGTCGCACTGGCCGGGAATCGAACCACGATCTCCCGCGTGCCAATCCATGACCTAGTCGACTAAGTCACCGCGCGTTCATATATATCAATAAACCTCAAAATTAATAATTATTTTACAAATTGCATTGCAGCACGAGTATCCCGCCGCGCTGGACGGTTCGTTCGATACCGGAAGCGAGTAGCAGCAAAGAAAATGGAACAATATGTCGCTTTCCTGGCATGGACGTGTAGCAATGGTATGTCATAATTATAACTATTAAAATGTAAGACTTAAGGTGGGTTATTTACTAAATTAATTAGTACAATTTTTTTAATAATTTGTTGAAATTTAAGTACAAAGAAGTTCATCCTATACAAAAAATTGAAAAAAAATTTTTGTGATAATCTTTTTTTTTATTAAAATTAATAATCTACCTTATCAATTGCTTAAAATGTAGTACTTATCAGTGAAGAGTTTCCTTAATTCTAGCACAACTAGTTAAAAATTTAAAGCTACAGTATGACATCATTTTTAGTACATAAATGAAACTGCTGCCAATCGGTATTTGTACAAAAATTTCTCGCATTGTATTTTTAAAAAAGTTATTCCTAATCGCAGATTTTTTCAAAATCGTGGCAGTTTAGTTGTACTTTTTTCGTTTTTGTAACTAGCCAGAAATAATATATTCCGAAAGATAAATTAAAAATTTATTTAATTACATCGTAAACTGATCAGTAATCATAAAGTAAATCATGATTAGATGATCTGTGAAGCATGTAATAATAATGAAGCATAAAATTAACTGTAAATAACAGCATGGAAAAAGTTGAGGCAAAACTGAATTCAACTCGGTACTCGGTAATAAAATCTAATAATTTACAAAAAAAAATCTGGTGCGTCAACACGTTATGTTGGTTGTCATTTTTAAAGTAATAAAAATGCAAGAAATAACATGAAACAATTTTTCAGATCAACCAAGCACTAGAGAATCGGCGTTCCATCGAGGATTTCTGTATGCACCAAGAGGTGGAGGTAAAAACAATCTTATAAATAATAATCATAACTTAATTTTTTTTTAAATATAACAATACAATATAATGTATACTGATTAAGGAGACTCACACTGTACTCTCTAGTCTATTGAGCATCTTACTTATGAATTCGTGTTTAACCTGCTATTACTGTACTAAACATTGCTGGTAGAATCATCTTAATAAACTAAAAAATACTCCTCACCATGTTTTGCTTCTCGAACATTATATTAAAAGTCAGGGATTTTACTGTTTATTCAGTAAATATTGTAACCTTTCCTGAGATACTTGAAATGATGTAATCAATTATAAAATTGTTTATTCATTACACTTGATTTTTGTAATATTAAAATATTACATTCCAATCTATGGATACTTCAACAAATTTTTAGATGGATGCGTTAAGTAAAAATTCATTTTAAATAATCTTGCGACAATTTGTCGTTCCGTACATGCTTGACGTGCTGAAAACAGACGATGATTTTAGCAGTACATAAGTGCATTGCCTTACTTATTTTATTACGTTTTGATTAATATTTTTTAATACAGTTCATTGCTAAACAGATTATCTTTTTTAAATAGCTAATCTTTTAAAAAGTACATCAACTTTCTTACATGCGATTTTTGTATTTGTGGTAGCACATGTTTACACGTATTTTTGTTTGAAAATAAACAAATCAATAACTCTTCCTGATAGTGTTATTAATATTGTACCTGAATTTCTTGTAGTTGGTAGATAGTTTGTGAGATGTGTGAGTCCCCTTGCAAAGGGATTTAATGGTTTTAAGTGAACTACAAATGCCTTGCAATGTAAAAAAAAAAAAAAAAAAAAAGATACACATATGAATAAATTATAAATTCCTATTGAGGGCAATAAAACCCAAAAAATGAAAAGTGACAGGTATTATCAGCATTGATAATTTTAGGTTTTCCAAATCAAAGAGGAAGAGGTCTACTGATTGCAGGGCAAAGAGGTAGAGGAGATCTTCAAAGATGGCGTGGAGGAGGACGCAGAGGAGGACGGGGTCAGATAAGTAACCAAGGTCAGAGAGGTGCTCAAGGAGGAAGGCCGGGAGGTGACAAAAGAGGACAAAGAAGGGGGCATGGAGGGCAAAGAGATGGCCAAGGATACATTCTACAAAACTAACGTAACAGTATAAACTTTGCGAGACTAACTGTAATAAAGCGAGAAACCATATTAATATATATGTATGTAAAACACAGAATTAACAGTTAACATAGTGCACTACAACTGATGAAAACTTTCAATTATTTGTTAAGTGAAATTTTACTATTCTAGACCTCCCAAACCCAGAGTACTTTTCCGCTCTAGGATGCAAAGTGAGCCCACGAGCACAAAGTACGATTTTGCGCCCTCAGGCAGAAAAACATTATTTGCTGCACCTTGGGCACAAACATGGTAACATACAAAGACCCCGCCCTTCGGGTGACATTTTTTAATTTTCCACCCTAACGAGAACTATCATACTTAATTTAGTGATACCAATTTAAAATTACAGCGGTTGAAAGAAGAGCAGTGAAAATTTCTAGAAATGAGATATTGTAGGTATTCACTGAAAATATGTTGTTACTCTTCAAAACGCTATAACTTTCGGTTGGTGAAAGTAAATGGTACAAAACTGTTTTTTAATCAATAAAGAGCTTATTGATACAAGCTTTGATTTAAGACAAATTAAAACCTTCTAAAATAATACACCTCCTCGCTAACACTAATGTTGAAAGTAGTATTATTGTTCAAAAGATCTATGTCGCGAAATAGTAGTTTTCGTACCTGCTGGCGCATGTCGCCAGGGCAAGCAGCAGGCCCGAGAGACTCCTTGTACTTGCCCTGGTTAATTGGATGCGCATCAGGTGCGAACCCTATTTTTTCTACCGAGGGCATACCCAACCCTCAAAGTAGCCCAAGGTAGGAAAAATGTTTTTTTTTTTATAAAGACCGAGGAACGTGTTGAGTATCTTACATAGCACAAAAGTACTGGAAAAACGTTTGGCAATCATATAATGTATAATATATTGCCCTAAAGTGGGAAAAAGACAGTTTTGTTATTGAGGTGATGGACGGAAAGGACATTTCAAGCTTCAGCAGGCCAAGCTCATATTATATAGGCACGATATAGAGGGCTTTTTTTCTACGCATTTGACTTTCTTCAAGAAAATGCACGAGTGATATACTTGAAAATAATACAAGTCGCGGAATGAAGGTGGAAGAAATAGACGGGAACTTATCCAACCATCAAATTTAACTCCCCATTTTTACTTTAAGCTCAAGAACTTATCAACACTTTCTTCTTTCACGTAAAAGTAGTAGTAGTTTAAGTAGTTCATAATTTGTAATGTGATTTTATTCCTTTCTGCTCTCATTTTGTTATCTCAGTACTAAGCCTGATCACTACTATACGTAGCACTGAACGCACTTGACAAATGCTTCACAAATGAAGCTTAGAAATGTAAAAATCTACCTTTTAACAGGGACATTAAACAAAACTCACATCATGTTTAGGATCTAAAATTTTCTAGTTTGAATGGGTCATGCATATTAATTATAGCTGACTTTAAAGTGTGAAAAAATTCTACACTAAATTTTCAGGAGTCTTCAATGTCGAAGTTGTCATTTTTTGTAACCCCAAGCAATCTCAAGTTGGTATATGAATAAACAATAGATTGGTATCTTTAAACAAGAACTGGTATGAGGCAAGTGATCTTGAGGTAATATTAAATTTTTTAGTTATATTAAACTGTTAAATACTTGCTAATTGCTAGTCAGTTAAACTCATTTTCTTTATGAGTTAGATAAAAAAAAAAAAAAAACTTGTGATTGGAAGTAGCCTTTGAATGTTTGCATTTCTATCGCTGTACAAAATAAAATCAAATGAAGTTTTCAACAAATTTTTTATTAAATTTTACGCACATTATAATATAATGTATTAGATTGATACATTTTTCTTTTCCATACCATACATTAAAGTAGCCTTAGTCAAAAAAGTGCCAGTAATACCCACAGTTACCCTAGGTATGAGATCAAATGAACAATAAGTCGTAAAACATCAGTTATAAACATAACAAACTATTTATGTCAGTAACTATTTATGTCAGGAACTAATTCCTCCTTTCGGAAATCAGGTGATTTTTCATGCCAAAATCTCATCTATCAAGATTTTTCATTTTTAAACTGATTTTCAAAAGTTATAAAGGTTTTAAGCTTGTTTTCAAAAATTTAAAACTTTTTGAAGTTATACTTCTATGAGGATGGATCATGAGCTAGCTCAACCACCAGAGGGCAGCAGGACAAGATGCTACTTAGAGATATAGATATATTATTTAAACACGGTCTATCATGGCGTCTCACCAATACGCTTTCATTGTTACTTGTATGTGAGAGAGCCAGAGATTTTAAGTTTAAAGGATGAATGAGCAAATTTCCAAAGAGAACTATTATGGTACTTTAAATATAAGTCAATTAAAAAACTGCTAAAAGCAACAATGTAAATAATTTTTATGAATTTTTTCATGAAACAATGTAAATAAACCGTATTCAAATAATACATCTGTATATCTNAATTTTTGTAGATCTCATTGCTTTATCAATATTAAATCTCGTTTTGTAAAATTTTTCATTTACTGAGATATCTTGATGAAGATATTTCTTTCAATATTAAATCATTTTTAGTGAGTGAGAACTCTTTAATGTAGCCACAAACTTGACGATTTTTGTTAATCTCGTTGCTTGTAAAATCTTTCACTTCGTTGAAAAAGTACTACTTTTGAGTAAGTAACGTTAGAAATACCATACATCTTTAATAAGACACTTGATATTATCATGGTTTCTTTCTATTAAGATCACTGCATTACATACCACTGTATTAAATTATTAATTATTATTTATGTAGTCTTGATTTTTTTTCTATTGATACCAAACACATCATACTCACTTAACCTTCACTTTAAAATAAAGTTAGTTTTTTTATGGAGTTAAAGGAGTAACGTGGTGCCATGAATTTTTATTTGAAAAAATTATCCTACTTTATGGTATAAAATACATTGTGTCCAAAGTAATTTTTTTTTACAGGCTACAATGTATCACCCAAATCTAATTGACTTTGCAGAAGATGTTTCCATTGATGGTAAAATACTTAACATGGATAATAAAACACATTTTATTGAATTTATTTATAAGTGATCGTTTGCTAATACATTATCAAAAATATTAATTTTAGGCCACATAAATGGTGTAAAATTTAATGTGAACGGAAATAATGCAGGCGGCAATGATGAACACAACGTCAATGATAATGCTGAAGTTCAAAATGAACATGGTAAATAATTGAAAACGCTTCAAATATATTTGCATAAAAAATCCTCATTCTTTTTCTTAAATTTTTATTGTTTGTAAAAGCTACGTCTATTTTAAAGATGCTTGTTTGAAATCATGAGCAATAATAAGAATCTTAGAAAAAATTAATTTTGTTCCCCGTAAGTTAGTCTTAGGAATCCTTGGATTTTTTTTTGTCATTTTTTAAAAAAAAGAAGTAATAAATAGCAGATAAATTTTTATTTCTTTATTTTGTAAATCGATTTGTAAAACTAAATTATCAGCATTCTTTTATGGGTAAATGCTCTTTGTAATATTGAGATAAAAATATTTTTATTATACAGAAATAGAAAATACAGTTTTTTAAAAGAGATTTTTACATAATTTATTGACTTTACTTGATGATTTTTATAGATAAATCGGCAATATTTATGGTAATAAATTGTAATTCACTTATTAATGGTTCATCATTTAACAAGTATACAGGACATGATGCATGAAAAATGGTGTGAGGGGTCTGTGGAGGGGCAGGCAAAATTGTGTGCGAGGGCTGTGGAGGGGCTGTGGGGGGTCTAAGGAAAAAGTTAGAAAAAGTCAAATTAGCGACGAAAACGGTCGAATTTTAGCTTATTTGTAGGGGGGCTGTGGGGGGTCTGTGGGGGATATGTGGAATGCCCCTCACAAATAACTATATATTATAGGGAGAGATATGCATATAGGGTGTACTGACCAACTGAGGGTATGTACACCTTCCTTTTCCTTTATTCGTAGAATATTTACGCAGCCTTCTACATAGAATGTATATTCGTGGTATCACATCATTTTTACATATTATAATCACTTTTTTTCGCTTATCATTTAGATTGTCGTTTTTATACTTATTCGCTTTTTTCTTAAATCTCACCTCCCCGGTTACGCATGAACGGATATCGAGAACTTATCACAATTCTTTTTAAAATTTTTTTCTTCGTAGGTATTTTATTTTATTTTTTTTTTGTCATTTAAAAGTAATCCTTAATCCTAAATTGGTGTCGTGAATTGAATTCCGAAAAAGTCTGAGTGCTCCGACTGGGAATCGAACCCACGACCCCTTGAGCTGTGTTGTTTTAGTGACTAGCACGCTAACTAACTGAGCCAACGACGAGCTTGTGTGTGTGTGTGTGTGTGTGGTGTGTAAAAATTATGAAAACACATACATATAGATCTCTATCAGTTTCATTAAATACAATAACTATTTGTACTTATTTAATTTAAGGAGGCTTCTTTGTGATGGTTTCCAAACTTAGACCAGATTAATTTAATAGTTGAAAATTTACTGAATCGAATGGTATTATTTATATCTCTTAGTCTGCAAAATTTCGAGATATTAATTTTATGTAGCACTTTCTAACACGTATTCTTATGGCGGAGCTCGCACACGCGATGAATGTAACCCAACAACTCGAATAAATCAACGGTTCCCTTAATAGGAGTGCACACGTTTTGTAGAAAAAAAAACTTCTTTCAAATAACACCTATCAAAAAAAGCGTTACCCTGAAAAATTTCGAGATACTCTTTTGAAAATGGATTTAGTCATTTTATTTCCACTGGTTAGCCTATGTTCCCTTGCGCGACGGTGATGCCAACCATACCTGAGTTTGCGAGTAACTTTGTAGCCTACAACTTAAGTTGGCATCTCTGCACGAGGGAGCCTCATTAACAAGCATTCAAACCTTATTCAGTAATATCACTTATTATTTTGTTTGTTTTTATGATACCACATACAGATAAATCTCTGTCTACTTTATTTTAAAAAAAAGATGTGCTTTTCGGTCCT